TGTTCGTTTCACAAAGCACTGCCAAACCCAAGAAATGTACTAAATAATGATCATAGTGACACCTACTGACACTTACTGTGTGAAAATTTATCATTTCTTGAAGACTGTCAGAAAATTTGGTCAAACTTGTCTACAAGAAAGAAACCAAAAGAAAATCAAGTCATTTAAGAGTCATAAAAATAGTCACAAAAACTGTAACTTTAAGCATTCCTCACAGAAAGATTGAGTTACACTGTAAATAATGACATTTACTTCCAAGGACAATCTCACTAGCTCATAAGTATGCTCTGAGTCTACATGTAATAACATATAAAACCTAAAAAAGTCAAGGAATTGGAGTTGCCCCACCAATGGTATGAATAACCCTAAAGGTAAACTTGTTTGAGGGTATCAAGACTGCCCCTTTAAGCATTTATGGATCAAATAATAATCAAACCACATCCATTTCTTCTCTGGTTATTATTAGTCATGAAAGAAATGTAACACTGTACAGTACTGTGGGGATCCAAACTAATCAGAAGCTATACAGCCCCCACGCATAGAGTCAAGTCCTGTTTGTGGGTTAACATTCTCTGCTTGCGCTTATAAACAACTTAAGTGATTCTGCTGTCCCTACCCATGCCCTCTGGCAGATGCTTCAGCTCACCTAGCAGCAAGCAGACTTAGTAAATGCCAAAACACTGCAAAGTTGAGTTAGGAGACAGATACCAGATATGCACAAAGCAAATCAACCTTTAAGGGCTAGCTTAGAAAACAGGATTACATTACACAGCACCAAAGGATGATAGCTTTTTTACTTCAAATTTTAAGTATCACCTTAAGTATCACCGTAATTATTAATATGGTAAATGGGTATATAATTATGTTTTGTTGCATATGTCACATTAAAATGTAACCATACTAACCTCAACTACAGCATCATTACTAGAATACTGTGCTAGGTCTCTAATCCCATTCATGAACTGTTTATTTGCAACACAAAAGGCTTTTCCAGTATCAATCATGGCAATACAAAGCTTCACAAGCTGAAAAAGAAAAAAAAAAAATTTACAAATTACTTTGTTGAAAAGTGTTGACAAAAATCACAAGTTAACCTAGCTAAAGACAGGAAATAAACCAATGCTTTATTAATACAACTAAAACAAACAGATTGAAATATTTTCTTACTTTCCTTTGGCTTATAAATTCACAGAAGAGTTGTATCAAAAAATTCAATCTTTAGGACCTAGAGGTTATCTGATAAAACAACAACAACAAAAAGATCATTTTATCAAGTCACATTCGATCCCATAAATTAATTTATTAAGTTCCTCCTAGAAGAAAGAAAGAGGTAAGCAAGCAGTGTGATGAAAAGTAACCTCTTTTTTATTTTTAACTGTGGTATGTTGGAAGAAAGGTAAGTTAAACTGGTATGGTGGGTTAGTCATGCCTTCTGTTCTGGGTATTGTGTTGAGTCTCAGGACTGATCCTTCCTGCCT